GCAAACACAAGTCTATATTGAGGATCAAACATGATGATTTCTACCTTCCCTCTCCATCTTCTTTGCTTTTAGCATCTGAAAGTGGCTAATAAATAAAGTATAGCTAGCTGGTGAGTCTTTCCAAATGATAAAAGGATACGATCGATGCACAATATTTGTTAATAGTCATGAAAAGAAGTGTTAACTTATTTTCAGCCAGTCAAGTGATTCTCTGCTCTAAAGCATCATTTGCAGCATTTTTGGTAAGTTCAGTATCTGATTCCTCTGTTCCCTGAAAGAGATTTTCACCTGAAAGAGATGTGCAGCTTAGGTCATATAAACTTTAGTTCATCACTCCCACCAAAATAACATGCAAACAAACAAACAAACAAACAAAGTCCCACTTATGAAGGAAGTGATTTTATAAGACATGCCTTGAGACAGCAAGCATCTCCATGGTGCATTCCAACCCATCTTTCTCTAGGTAGAAAAAACTGACATGCAGAGAGGCTAAACTGCCAAAGACATAACCAAGAATCTTCTGGGTGTGCCTACTGTCCTGCCCTTGTTTTGTACTCTGTTCCTCAGACCTGCATTCTAAAACTGTACCTGTGGTTATTTCAGACTGTATTCTCCTTGAATAGCCTTTGATGTAGCTCAAAAGTGCCTGTTTCATGTCCTAGGAGGAGAAGGAAAAAAATCAAAGTGACTTTTCACATCTGATAATGTCTAGTTACTTTGGAAGGACGAAATTTGTCAAAAATCTGTTTACAGAAACCTTAATGAAGAGGCACACACGTTAGAGCAAAAATGAGAAGTCCTCACAGGGATGTTTGTACATCAGGCCCAGAGTTAATCTCCAACCTAAGGTAACTAGTGGACACATTACCATTCATTACTTATACCCCTGCATACCTGGAATTTAAGGTGCTACTTTTCTCTCAGCTTTAAGGGGCTTCTTCTGACCTTCAAGGAAGGACATAGCATAAAATTGAAATTCATTGTCAAGGCAGTGAATTCAGATACAGTTCCCAATATCTGAAAATTTTAATGGTTTGGAAACTCAAAGAAAAATTCATTCATTGAAGTAAAGCTTGTTGTATATAACACATTAGAAGAATTTAGCATAGTACTTGATATGGCAAGACAATATCAGGGGATATTTCTTGACAGGGTGAAGTGGTTTGTGAGTCTATGGGTGTCTCTGTGTCTTTGGAAAACTGTGACAGGAAAACACAGGTTGG